CTGTCTACGATGTTGTAGATTTTGTTTATTTCAAAGCAAAGTCACACAGCTGGAGATCGTTTAGTTAGAATAATCTAACTGTGTCTCGGTACAGGCCCTCACCACAGTTAGAATACGTCCCATATACTTGCAATGTAGCAAATCGGAGCGGATCCGCTCCGAAACGATTTTGAAGAATATAAAATGATTTGCACTGGGAATAACTACCAAAATAATCAAAACAAACCTTTTTGAGATTGCTTATGCCTTTTATCCCATAAAATAATCCATATAAATACGAAAATCCAATTAATTTTCTCAACGTTTTTCTCTCGATTCAAATTACTACATTCGGAACTCTCTAGATTGTTCCTAGTAAATGCACTATGCGAGTTATCGCCCGTGTTTCTTTCTGCTACATTACGAATACACGGAACGAATTCTATCGTTAAACCGGGTCCGTAGGACAATATCATTTTAACGATAGAACATTCTATCTAGAGATCGTTATATATAACTTGACCAGGTGTCATTTTACTCGTCTATTTTTACTTAGTTACAATCTCTCTACATTACTCGCTCCTGCCAGTGATGGTATCTATATGTGTTTATGCTATTTTTTCTTCTCTGCCTACTCTATACTGACAAATTATCTTTTCCTTACACATTTAAACTTCTTTTATTGCCGATTTTTCTCCATTCTTCACATGGCGTTTTTGCTATTAATAGCGACACGCGACTTTTAATACAGACGGGAGATAACTCTTAAACTTTGAACCAAATTCTTACTGAATAAAAATACATGAAAATACCCAAAAATCAAAATAAAAAACATCGGGGCGGGACATTTTGAGAGGGGCGGGCGGGAATGAGAATCTAAAGATTAATTTTATATGGCCTAACTCACTCTCTTTCTTTTGCTTGGATTTCATCATATGTCATTTCAAAAGGTTGTTTGGTGAAGCTCATGCAATGCTCGTATGCAGTCTTCAGCTCCTGGAACTGTTCTACATCCCCCGTGTTTGTGTCAGGGTGAAGCTGTGTAGAAGGAAACACACAGTAATTACAGGGATTACACAAGAGTAATATATTATTACATGTAGTACATTGATGGTTTGTACCACTTGTGTAGTAATTTACTTGATAAAAAAATATATTTCAATGCAGATAATATACAAATTATTTTTTTTTATCTTCAATTTTTTTTTTTTCATTTCTGCACTTTTTTTAACAATTTCATTTTATAAATGTTTCTTTAAAATTTTGTAAAAACATATACAAGTTAATGTAGCTCTACCTGAATACATTATTTCAGGAGGGTCAGTTGCATAGAATATCTTCTTTTTTTTGAAAGAGTTTCTTTTTTTTCTATTTTCTTCACATTTTATCTAGTGTATTAATGCTACATGTATATTTTTTTTTTCTAACTTTCAAGTATTACACTTGTTATTCACATTCCATTAAGTTTTTTAAAGTCTATCCAGTATGTTGGCTAAAGCAGTTCACTCCAACTTCAGAAATGTTACATGGAAAAAAGAGTTTAATTCTAAAATTTTACTATTTACATAGGTACCTGTTTTGATTTTTCAAAAAATGCTTCCTTAATCTGTTCTTTTGTGGAATCCTTTGGTACTCCAAGAATTTCATGGTAGGTTTTGACCTTACGAAGCCTGTAAATAAAAGTCATATATTACCCATTTATTTGTCTCTGATGCTTTTTGTCATTTTTCAGAATAATTAATAAATTACTGGAATTCTGAAGATTCTTGCAATGAAAAATTTACAATAATAAAAGTATTTGGATTCTGATAGACTGGCACACCTTGTGGAAGATGCTGAAAACTGTCTTGCACAGAAAAGCCTGGCCCTAAAGTTACAGCAGCGTAGGAGTGACATCACCCTACAATAAAACGCAGTATAAATGAGATAAGGCATTACATTAAAAGAAAAATAATTTACTAGTATTGTTAATTTTTTAGCATATTTTAGCTTGTTTCTGTTATTTTTCTGCTACAAATAGGGTACAAGGGAGGCATTTTAACTGTGGTACAGCTGTAGAACTGTACCTCTCAAAAAAAATACATTGATAGACCAGAGAGAGCTCTACAGTGTCACCCAATAAAACAATTGTATATTTATTGCACACAAAATAGTACTCTGTTTCCCTATTTATTTCTCCCTGATTTTTAAACCGCTATCTCAAAATATAATTAATTACTAATTCCTAACTTATTCTTTAAGTATTTCCACAACAAAACTTTCCTTTTCACCATTGTAAATAGCCCTCAAGGCCCTTGAGACCATCAGAAATTTTGCCTTATTACACTGTCATTTTGGGTGGCAAGATAATATTGTCCAATGCTCTTCATGCAGCTTCCAAATGTGAGAAAAGTTGACAGAGGTCAAAAGAATATTTTGAATCTGAGCTTTTAAAGAGTTGAGGTAAGAATTTGGAGAAATTAATCCAAAATCCAGCACAATTCTTTGTGTGCAGTAAATATTCGATTTTTTTCTATGGGATGGCACTGTGGCTCTCTGGTCAACCGTCATCCATCCTTTTTTTCACACCTTTGAGCTACAGTTCTGCAGCTACCTGTGGTGAGGTCTTGTCCGAGACATAGTAAGATTATTCTTACTTTTTTTATATCTAAAAGATCTTCAAGGACGAATGCATTTTAGGGTGAACAGTATTTCTTTTCTGTTAACAAGAGAATTCTGACATAGAAGCACAACAAGTTGGGCACACACCGCCAAATGGTCATTTGACTCCCTATTTGGTGGTCAATCGCCCATATCGGAGTTGGTATTTACTTGTACATACCATTTGAGACATCGTCACAAACCATGGCCAAAATGTACAATTTTTTCCCATTCTGGCCATGGTTGAATGAGAAGAGATTGTTTTGTAGATCATTAAAATATTGACCAATGTGAGTAAAGCATAGTCGGATAATGAAATTTGATGCGACCTTTCAATATCCAATCGCAGTGTACGAAATATTTCTTGTATACCATTGATCTCAATTGTTGATTTCAATTGCGATGAAAACAAAACCCATCACTCATGACTGAATATGACGTTTCAATAGCGAGGCATAAATATTTAAGATTACACTTTTTGTGACTAAGCAGCCATGGGTAGGAGAGAGCTGTATATGCGGACTCCGGACCGTGGCTTGAGACGATGCATTTGGGAGAAAAAAATAATTTTGCAGACTGTAATAAATATGCGAAGAATGTGTAAGCTTACTGATAGAAATTCAAAGGCCTGTAACTAAAATTTCCCGACTAAAATGCCATTGCGCTTTTGCGATATTTTAATATAAATTGGATTGAAATTAAAAAAGACCACCATTTGGTCAGTTAAACGATAGGGGCGATTGACCACCAAACGGGGTCAAATGACCCTGCACTGGCTGCATTCGGCAGTGTGTGTACAACCTGCATAATGTCATCATAAAATATGGAACATACTAAAGACCTGATATTTGACCTGATGAAAAAATATTTCATACAAATTATCAATTTAAACATTACATTTCATATTTCTGGGGCAGTGTTTCCATTAACGCATATTTCTGCATATTTTACACAGAAAAATTACTTTTTACCCCCAAAAACATCACCTAAAGGGTCATCATGATGCAGACAAAAAAATATGAAAACAAATTTTAAAGATCCAGTTCAATATTGATGCCTTAATAGAAGAAGATATTTAACATGTTTAATTTACATTCTGGACAACTTTCTAGGAATTAATCATTGCTTTTAGTTTAATTTCAAAGTGGCAGGGATTGAAATCGGCATTTCCAAGTCAACAATCTATAAAATTCTTTTCTATGATCTATCTAATTCTTAACAAAACCGGAAGTGCAGTTAAAAATGGCACTTCAGCATGTTCAGTCTTACATCGGCATATTTATATCAGCTTGGCTTTGTCAAAAAGGCTAATTATGGTAATAAAAAGGTGAGGAAAGTTCAAATCATTAATAAACAGTTTAGTAAAGCAGTCAACCACTTTCAGTTGTTATCTTTTGATTGAAGTATTCACGAAACCCTAATCGGCAGTATGACATGAGACCCAGCTGTTTAACACAGAGGAGACCTGGTGTAATCGGTAAAATGTGACAGTGTACCGGTAAATAAAAGAAGTATAAAACCAGAATATATTTTGACCCTCAAAAAATCTTTTTGACTCCCAAAAGTTTATATCAAAGGGTCATAATGACCCTTGGTTAAAAAATTTAGCAGAAACACTGTGGGGCAAAAATATTAATGATAGTAGCTAATACTATACTAAAATACATTTTAAGTGGATTATAATATGATTTTTATGCTATGTATTGAGGTATATTCACAAAACTTGATGACCTGATATTTTGAATGACCTGATTTTTTTTTACTTTACAGACCTGATATTTTTAAACCAATAAAATTACATCCATATTACTTTACCATCTACAATGAACCTTTGAATTATAGCGAGCGCAGCGAGGCGGCGCGAAGCGCCGCTCGCGTAGCGAGCTCAATAGACTAACGTGTACGAACGGAGGAAATTCGGGTTGAAATCTGCACATTGTTCCAAGAAATTTTTATCTGACCGCGTGAAAAAATTCTAAAATCCCAGTAATCCTTTTCGGTGCATAGCAACCAGAAGGCTAAAACAAAGCAACAACTTACTTGAAAAAAAAATTACAAACAACGTTTTTATGCAATATCCTTGCCACAAAATTATCGTTTGCGTATTAAGTCTGCAAGACTTTTTATTTGACGTCATACTTTCGTCACTTAAACGGCTCGGGTATTTCCGATTTTTTCGGAAACTTCCGAAAAGTTCGGAATCTTGATCCCGATTCCTTTGGAAATAAAATAAAGCTGTGTAAAGGTTTGGATATCCAATAACTGCGCTCGCCCCAACGGTCACACCGTAGAACATATTAATTTTTTTCTTTTTCAAACCTGTATACTGTATAGCTGAATCAAGTTTTATGCGAACAGGTGAATGTTGACATTTTTGAGTCCACTTTTTCTCACAGGAAATACGACGAGGCTACGAAACAAACCAACAAGGGATAGTTTACGGGTGCATTATTTTTTCCCGAAATCCTTCATTTCGCGTGATTAACATTTTTCTGGAAAAAATGTGATTTGGTAAAGGAAATTATCGTTTTAGATTTTTTATATTGGGTGAAATAAGATAATTATCACACCCATAATGATATACATACGGAGGCAGATCGAGGGGGGGGGTGCTTAATTTTTATTACTGTCATGACTTTTATAATATATTCGAAAGGGCATTAAGAGCATCTTTCGACCATGTTTCGACTTGATGTCAAGAAAAAAAACCTAAAATAAAAAAACATAGAACACAAAATAAAAAATATAATTTAGTAAATTAAATTTAAAGACAAATTAAGCAAGAGGCTTTTTGAAAATGACCATATTTTTTTTCCATTATCATATATTAATACCCGAATTTTTTAATGTCCACCGCTTTCGCGTAATCTCATTCGTCTGTCGGTCTGTCACAAAAACTTCAAGTTAACCTTGTCATAACTATAGAATGAGAAGAGATAGGGCTCTCATATAAACGAGAACATATTATACCTTGATAAGTCCTTTCAAATATAAGCATATGATTTTAGACCCCGTGACCTTAACCATGAAGTTTGACCTACTTTCAAAAATTTTAACATTACTTTAAATTGCTCATAACTTTGGAAAGCGAAAAGATGAAGCTTTCCTATCAAATACTGATGTATATTACCTGTGACAAGGCGTTTCTAAATACACTATGATTTTTTTACGTTGTTATCTTGACCTTAGGTCAATCGAGAATTTTAAGGTGCCAAAAATCATAGAATGCTCGGAAATACCTTGTCACAGGTAAAGCACATGTCAAATATGAAAGCCCTTTCTCTGTTCAATCAAAAGTTACAAGGGAAAAACATTTTTGAAAAGTGGGTCAAACGTCAAGGCTGTCAAAAGTACATACTGACAGACGAATGAAATTTAATGTCCCCTCGCTTTAGCGAAAGAGATATGGCTTCATATTATACATGTGTATTGCAAGAACTTTTTAAAAATATACTCTATAATTTTTGACCCCATGACCTTGAAGTTTGGCCTACTTTAAAAAAAAATTAAACATTATTTTGAATTGACCATAACTTTTGAATGAGAAGAGATACTAGTAAGGCTTTCATATTAAATATGTGTATTAACTGTGACAAGACTTTTCTAAATACATTATGATTTTTGACCTCCTGACCTTGACTTTGAAGTTTGACCTACTTTTCAAAAACTTTTACCTTGGTCATGACTTTTGAATGAGAAAAGATAGGGCTTTCGTGTATAGCTTTATTGAGTTACATAAATTCATAATAGTTCGATAACAAAAATATTTTTATGAAGTTTTTGTCCCATGCTTTCGCAAAAGCGGGGGGACATTAAATCTCATTCGTCTGTAAGTCTGTCAGTCTGGACCTGGTAAAACTGAGTTATCCAGTAACATTAAAACAAAACATTTTTGAATATTTTTCCTTGTTAAGCTGATGAACGTCCTGGATCACGTGGTGAAAATTGGGAAATCAGCGGTGGATAGTCCTCACTTTGAATATGACAGTCTCTGGAGGAATGCTTCTCTGTGTATAGTCATCATATAATAGTTCTCGTGTCATAAGCAGGTTAGATCATGGAAACGCAAGTATAAATGTAGTTACAGATCTTAGCCTTTAAAAAATTGCATTATTTTAGTAGGTCTGATTCTG